CTATAACTCAATAAAATATAATTAAAAATATATTTCTTTCAAAAATTAAGGAAAAGTTAGGCATCAAATTCCTCTGCTATAAATGATGGTGTCTTAAATATATATATATAATACTTAATCTAAATTCTTTTTGGAGGTTTTAAGTAGTCACACTCTCAATGGAAATAAATCTTTTAATAACTGTCCTATTTAGATATACTCATAGTACACTGATGACAAGGCAATTTTCTGAATGTACATGTGATAAGTGGAGTTAATAGCACTAAGCAAACATGACATTTTTGTTGTACTATGAACACAGATGAGTCACTAAGTAAAATGATTAATCACAAATCAGTGTTACTAAGCTCACTGAGTGACTATTCTTCCCTTGCAAGGCAGTTAGAAACTCTAAATTTATAAGCTATTGAGTTTATTCTAGCTATAAAGAGATACAAGCATCAGAGTATTCAGGAAATTTGTGTGTAATTAACCTAAAATGATAAGTATCTTATAATATACTTTGGCATATTTTTATCTGGGTATTGTACAAATATGTAAAATGAAATCAAATAGCTACAGATAAATTTTAAATAATGTAATACTAAAAAACTATTTTAATAAAATAAAGAGAATTTTAACGCATGTCACTACAATACTCAAGATTCATAAATTATATTCATTTCATCAGCCTGAAAATGTCTTTGCTTCATTTTGCAATGACTAGAACTTGTAACCTTAATAAGTAGCATTATCCCTCTTTAAGAGTTTCCAATGTCCAAAGCTGGAAAAATGTGAGCAACAAAATAAATAACATAGTATTAGGTTATACCCCAAAGATAAAGTAAATATCCATGAATCCATACTGATATAAATGATTGAATAAATAAATAAATGGAGAGGGAAATCATCCATAGAAAATTCCTGGTAATATATGTAAATACTTCATTCTCTAGGAGGTAGAGCCTATTTTTCCTCTCCTGAGTGTGGGGCTGGACTGAGTGACTTGCTTCCAAAGAACAGACTAAGAAAAGGGTAAAATAGTAGCTTTGCAATGAAGAGCCTGGCAAACACTAGCCAGGTGACCAAAGTTAGCATGACTAGTGTTAAGTCATGTTGATAGTATATACCACCCTTCAGGATGATGTGGTAAGAATGGTACCTCATCCTTGTAATCCTCCACAAATCTCAAAACCCCAGCCTAATCATGAGAAAAACTTCAGACAAACCCAAACTGAGGATGATATTCCATAAAATTCCTGACCAGTTCTCCTTATATTTGTCAAGATCATGAAAAACAAGTAAAAACAGAAACTTACAGATCAGAGGAAGCTAAGGAGACATGATGATTAAATGCAACGAGGGATCCTGGACTGGATTCTGGAATAGAAAAAGGACATCAGTGGAAACACTAGTGAAATCTGAGTAACGAATGAGGAAATAAAGAACTCTGAATAAATCTGTGGTTTAGTTAATAGTAATGTACCAAAGTTGATTTCTTAGTTTTAACAAATGTACCATAGTTATTGTAAGTTATGTTAACATTAGGGCACTAGGTAACTGGTATACAGGAACTCTGTGTTATCTTTACAAGTTTTCTGTAAACCTAAAATTGTTCCAAAATAAAATGTTCATTATAAAACAATAAATGTCCAGGCCTCACTTCTGAGATTCTGATTTAATTTGTCTGGGGAAGTGAGGGGGAAGTGGTTAAGCACCATTATTTTCTAAAAGTTCCTCAGATGATTCTATTGTTCAGCCAGAACAGACAATCATTACTATATACTAGTAGTTCTCAAACTCGAGTGTGCATCAGAATCCTCAGGGGCAGGGTGTGTGGGGGTGGTTGCCTTGTTAAAACACAAATTGCTGGCCCCTACCCTCTGAGTTTCTGATTTGGTAGGTCTTGGGTGGGGGCCTGACATTTTGCACCTCTTACAAGCTCTCAGGTGATGCTGATTTTTCTGGTGTAGGATCCATACTTTAACCACTGCTCTATACTAAAATCTTATGGTGGTTTCTCTCAAACCACTGTGAAAAGTAACAGCATGATACAAAGCAGTGTGATACAGTGAAAGAGCACTAGTCTACAACTCAAGAAACTTGGATTCTAGTCCTTAACTTGTCATCATTCATAGGACCTGGATGAAACACTTCTCTTAGCCTTAAGTGTCTTACCTACAAAATAGACTGGTTTAATGACCATTAAATCAGAAAGCTGGGACTTCTTTCAATTTTTCAGTTTACCATCTAGTTCTGTTATCTCAAATTTGATAAACAATTCCGTGAAATCTAACTCAATATTTCTAAAACAGTAGTGAAAGATTTTTCTCTAGAATACATGTTATGATTATGAAGTAATGAAGACTATTTTAATCAGTAAGCCAGAGCTAATACATTCAAATTAGTAACATCCCAATTTCATGTCATCACCATGTATCTAGTCCAATGATGTTGTCATTGTCCCAAATATTTTTGGAACTCTTTTAATATACATCAAAGCCAGGTTTTAGGTTATACAAGAAAAGCAATCTTATTACTTTTAAAATCACACCTCACTGGTCAAATGTAGCCAGTTTTCTCACTCACATTAACCACCAGACAGCCCTTAAAATGACCCTTGGTTATTTCAAAAAACCAAAATTGCCCTGGAAGAACAGAGTTGGATATTAGGGGGAAGAAAAGTCATTTGAGAACTTGATAAAAGATTGCAGCCCTCCCCGGAAAAATGCATCAGCATGCAAAAAAATGTTGCCAACAACTTAAATCCCTAGACTCTTAGAAACTCCCAATCTAAGGAGATAAATATTTACCGCTACTAAAAAATCCAAATGTTCCAAAAAGACTCAGAAGGAATCGTTTAGAGGCAGCTTCTCCGAAACAAATGAACAACAGGAAATGCACTGAACTTGGGGTGTGAATAAGGCACCTCAAAATTCGGATTCTGATTTGGCTATGTCCCTAAGCAGTTTGAAGCAAACAAGTCACTTTTCTCTTAGTGTCAATTTCCTCATTTGTGAAATGGAGACGGGACGAAAAAGGGATTGAGCTGTATCAGTGGTTCTCCATCTGTTCATTGAAACAGCAGCATCAGTATCACCTAGGAACTCATTAAAAATGACTACTGAATCAGAAACTCTGGTGTGGGGCCTGGCCATCTGTGTTTTAACAAGCCCTCCAGGGGATTCTGATGTACACTTAAGTTTAAGGACCACCAAGCTAAATGATCTCTATGAAATTCCTTCAAGCTCTCAAATTTATTTGGAAAGTAACTTCAGTTAAGTTAAGATACATAACAAAAACCAATAGTCTCAGTCATATCTGTTAAAAAGATTTTCTAAAATTTTTAAGGAAATAAAAGGATAAGAATCTCTATTTTTATGTCCCCTACAGTATCCTTATACTCTTTATAAATACTAGGTATACATATCTTTACCCATGTGGTCCAATTCTGGCTGAAAAAGAAAATTCTTCAACCCAGAGCTAGGTGAGACAGAAAATACCTGATTCAGCTTACCTTGAACAGTTACCCTCCCTCCTTCCTGCTACTCAAATTATTCCATGGATTTATTAACTAAGTAGTAGAGGAAACAACTGGAATTTGTTTTTATCTAAAAGTGGTATCTTGCTTTCACTGAAAATGTGCTCAAGATACATTATCAGGAATTATCAAGCAATAATAAAAGTATTCTCCCTTAGTGCAAACAAAAGCAGAATTATTTTGAAATTAATAAGACTAATGGTTTTTGTTTCCATTTCAGGCAAGTAAATCAGATATTTGGTATTAAGGAATTATCTTTATTGAGGTATGATGGTATCAGAGTTATGTATAAAATAGAAGTGTCCTTATCTTTTAAAAACCTGATACTACAATACTTAAAAATGAAGTATGTCACCTGTGGGCTTTAGTAACATCAAGTGTTGAGGTAAGGTGAATGGGTAGGGTGGTAAAAAACAAGACTGGCCATGGAAGAGCTGAAGTAGATATGGGTTTGTGGGGATTCATTTTACTGTCTTACAAAACTTTTTGTAAGACAAAGCAGAAGATATATCAATTCAGTTGTCTGCTGTTTTTGAGAAAAAAATAAGCACATCAGGATCCCAGCAACCAAATGAATAAACTAGAATGTTAGGAATGTTATTTACCCACTACAAAGCAAAATAACATAGTACCTAAATCTAGTATCTATCAGTCTATTACTAAGAAACACAGATAATGTAATATAAACATTTCACTTACCAGGAGATCCAAACTGACAGTGAGGAAGATGGTGGAAGACTGTCCGACTAAGTTAACAGGGGCTCTATTAAGGCTCTCACATCACAAGAATAAAGAGACACTCTGAGGGATGATTCTGAAATACACATTTCTACTTATTTGTAAGCAGTTTTAAAAAAAAGTCTTTAAAAATTTAAGTCCCAGTGTTGTCACTTAAAATTGATTTTGAATTAGAGGGGGATGAACTCAGAGAAAGCTCCATGGTAGCAATCTTTACGATGATAAAAACAGAAACTGGCACCCAATTTCCACGTTATTCAAACGTGAAATCGTATTCATAGTCAAATGAAATAGTCAATATTTGAGAAACTTTCCCATTAAACCACCAAGTTCCCAACTCTGACAGTGGCTTTAATGAAGCAGAAAAAGAAACAGTCGCTCTCCCTCTCATACCAATTACTTGTAACAGATAACTGTGGGTAGCGGCTTTGAGTCACTGATAAAATTTCACTTGTAAAATAATGATAGTGGTCACTACATAAAACATCTAATCCAGTACTATCCAATAGAACTTTCTGTGATGATGGAAATGTTCTGTATCCTGTATTTTCCAACATAGTAGCCTCTTGCCATAGGTGGCTACCGGGCATATATGTCGCTACATGAACTGTTACTAATGGAATCAAGGAACTAAATTTTAATTTAATTCATTTAATAGCCACATGTGGCTAGTGGCTAGCATAATAAACAGCACATATAGCCCCAGAGTACCTGAGGGAAGAAAAACACACACCCACATATGTTTCACTTAATATCTAACTCACATTTATTAAAAATTGCAGATTACAGAAAAGCATGAATAATATTGGCTTTATTAAACAAGCTCAATTAACTTACCTTTGACTAATAAATCAAAGTATTTAATATCACAAAAGGAATTTTGAGCACGAAATTAACAAAAGGAAAGCAGCTAAGGTATTTTCTGGAGAGAGCAACCACAGACCTCCCTCTAGTGGCAAGAGATAAAGCTGCTGCTGAAAAGCTGAATTGCTTCTGCACTATACATAAAACTGCTCACAGACATTTACATAATTATAACTTAAAAATACTCTAGAACAATATATAAGGAAAATAGATCTGATTTTTGTAAACAAAGGTTAGACCTAATTTTCACTTACTAGAACTGATCTTTCCAGAAAAAAAAAAGATTTGCCAATGACATTTGGGAAAGTAGGGCTTTCACAAAACAAGTTTATGGAGCCTTAACCAAATCGTGAGCAAAAGAAAAGAGCAATTCTTCTCTGTTGATAAATGTTCTGAGATGGGACATGAAAAGGAGTGGATTCAGAAGTATAAAGTAGTAAGCAGCAGTGGGTTTGTAAAAATTCATGGTACATCAAAAGAGACAATGTAAAATATTACAGGAGTTCTTAAAAACCCAGACACTTTTCATTCTGATAATCAGTTTCAAAAGACAGCTCTGCCACATAGCCATTTTAATTACAACCATACATACTGATTTAGATTTAACTACTGAACTACTACTTTCAAGTACAAGAAGGAACTCAAAATAGAAATGACTTGTGTTACAGCTATTGTTTTTCCCTCAGTTTCAGGAAAAACAGCCTTTATATACACTGTAGTAAGTACAGAATGTACAGAAGACAGTTATATATACAAAAGTGCATTAATATAGTAATACATTTAGCAGAAATACAGGAAAAAAATCCTGGTTAACAATCTGATACATTACAGTATTAAGACTACTTGAAGATTCTCCAAACCAGTCAACTTCCTACTTGCTTTGGTTATGATACTGATGCTACATAACTAACCTTTGAAACTAAAACAAAAAAAAATGAAATTTTTAACCGTCTGTGAAATGTTTTACATATATATACTTGTATTCATCCTTAATAGCTTTTGACAACAGTTCTATAAAACTCCCAACACAAAGATTTAGAATGAATAATACCTATATCTAAATTAGAGTACTCAAAGAGGAAATTAAATTGATCCACTACAAGAACAGACATGGTCTGCTCCATTCCCAAAAGCCTCAGCTAGATAACCTAACCCCATAGTCTCAACTTAAATCCAATTGGTCAGCTACTATTAAAGAGCAAGCAGCTCCACAAAACAAGCCATGGCTTCAGGCCACTGTTCCTTAGAACAATTCAGAATAGGTAAGTGTTAACTTGTCTTTTATACATATTAATTCTACAACTACTTTCATATAGTCAAAATGCATATGTATAATTAGAGCAATTCTCCTTTTTTCTACCCTCATCCCTCACCACAAAAAAGAACACAGATTTATTTCCACAGGTTCCATTGACCACGAAGACATAACAAAGAAATTCGACAATAAAAAGTATCACATATTGAAATCAGAGAAGATCCAATCCATTTTTCCAAGTTCAGTATGAATGTCAAATTAAAAATTAATTTACCATTATGTGATCTAGGTTAAAACATTAATAACCTTAATTTAAAATATAATTGTGAGGGGTGCTGAAAACAAATTATTTTAATATTAGAAAAAATATGAAAAAACTTTAGTGAGTCAACTCAGATCTTCGGTTATACCATGCAACTTCCTTACTCTCAGTAGCCAGTTACTTAGAGGAATTTTCAGAGTTCCTTCTAAGCCTTTTGGAATAAGTAAGTTATTTTCCAAAGAAATAAGAATTAAGCATTTCTAAGGAGCTATGTTCCAGATACTATGCTGACAGAGGTCTAAATATTTCTCAGATGCTTCTCACTCACTTAGCATAATTTGATTGTAAAGATAAAATTTATCTTACTTTGTCAGACTTACAATGAATCCAAAGTTACTACAGTACATGTGTACACAAATACTTATTTTCTACCTAATAGTCCTTTTAAGGATTAAATTTACCTCTAAGTTTAGACATGTTGAATGTCAGTGTGCTCAACATCAGTACCATCATTTGAATGTAACTGGAAATTTTCCTGTCTACCATCTCAAACTATAAACTGACTTTAACCCCTTCCCAATTCCAAGCAAACATTTTTCTTGAAGATAGACCTGCTAAAAGGTAATTTGTTAAAGGGAAGGAGAGTGTTCAGGTATTACACGAATGAATACAACGAATCCCCCAAATTAATAAGAGAATCAACTTGCTATATAATCTCTGTTCTTGAAGTACTTTTTCCTTTAAAATTATCTTTCTAGAGTTATCTGGTTTTAAAAAGTATTCTGGCTTATGATGTTTTTCACGGAAAAAAAAAAGAATACATTGAGCTATACTTTAGATAACTTCAGTGACCTAGCTGGGCCAAAAATAAAGTTATGCAAGTGAAATTTAAGATCTGAAGGTTTTTGTTTTGTTATACACTCTATTATCATTGGTTTGATTTAATGCCTTTGCTTACTGATATCCAACAGTGTGGACATTTTATAAAACGAATTACAACATTCAGATTACTTTTGATTTTGGAAAAGCCTGATATTGACAAAAAGTATAGAGTTCCCCTTTAAGGCACATGAGGCTATATAGAGTAAGCCACGAACAAAAAATTCTGCTAGAGACTCCTGGAAACAAGACTTCTATATTTGTCAGATATACTAACATTTTTGGCTTAAATATGAAGACATTTGATAAATTTCACAATTTTTAAAGCTCATCAGAATCTGGATACCTTTATACAGTAGTTTCTTGAAATTGTTCCTTCATGAGGGATTTTAGCACTTCTAAGAGCTAAATAAAATGAGATGTCCACCCAATCCATAGAGTCATTTAATTATAAGTCAGTTTCTGGAATTCAGCAATATCTAGATGACCCAAAGGACTGACAAAATGGACAAAACTGCCACAGCCTAAATGAAAATGAGACAAGTCTCAAGGAAAAAAAGTGTTATTTTACTCTAAGTTCTTCCTGGGGCGGAATGAGTTAACCCTTTATACTCCACTACACATTATACTACATCAACTTACTTTAACTCGGTTGAAAAACTGTAGAAAAAGACATGCCATTTTGTTTAATTCAAGGTTTATACCTTTAAAAGCTGTGGTAGGGACTGACAGACTTCTTATAAGATCCTTTTTCCAGTTCTGTTGAGATGTAATTGACATACACACAAGATCTCTAATAAAATGTTTCTGGATAAATATGAGGGGATTTTATCATGCCCTCAATTAACAAGGCTTACTTTTAAAAAGGAAAACTTTATTTGCTCCAATGTCAATTCTCTACAGATAAGAACTGACAGTGGAGCAAATAAGTCTCATATTTTTATTAATTGGTTAGTTAGGGTTTATATTTTAAAACAAAAAAAATATTGAGTTGGATTTGTTTTAAATTGAACTCAGAGAGAGACCAGACTAAATTTATAACTCATTCCAAGAAAGAAGTAATTCAAATTTGAATTATCAACATGGGGCATTAAAGCCCTCCCAAAATATAGCATATTAACAAAGACAAGTGAACTTTGTTTGTCTTTTTCTGCTGGTTTTTTTTTTTTTTTTTGGTGGTGGGCAGGTAGGTAGAAAAAGACTTTGTAATCTCCCTCTTCAGTCATAAGCAAACCCAAGTTGCTTAAACTTTAAAATTTTTTTTCTTTCAATCTCTTCCAAACTAACTTTATGAGCAATCTCTAATTTATAGTATTGTAAAGATAACACATCCGGATTTTACAAAATTTCATGGTGTACTTTACTATAAATACTCAAACCTTTATAAATTTTAAAAATTGGCTTTGTGGTGCTTTGGTAAACTTGTTTAATAGTGAGTTAAGTTAAATCTAGGGTAATAAGACTATGTGATTGTTGGGAGAGTAGAGTAGAGGAACTGGTCTTATATCATGACACTGTTAAGGATTTTCTTTTACTCGTCACTGTCAAGTAAATTGTTTCCAACTATTTAATAGATAAATGCTGCTCTACAGTCTCCAAAAGTGGCCTGTTTTCCCTGAAGAGTGGGTAAAGAGAACAATCATTCTCTGGAATTCTGCTTTTGCTAAGAGCAGGTAGAGAATTTAACTGTATTTGCTCTTCTCTCCATTTACTCTTCCTGTATTTGGAAGGGAAAACACAATAAAGTAGATCCCTTCCATCTTCCTCAGAGTATTCTGGGATCTATCCCCAAGCTTTCTTTGGGCTCTCCAAGACAGCCAGGAGCACCAAAGTGGGGGGTAAGAGGAAAATCAGGACTACTCCAACTGATACCCATATACACATACATACTTTCTTAAAGTAAAATTTTAAAGTGTGAATTTAGCAGTCTTCAAAATGTTACAACTATACCACAGACCTCAGCAAAGCTGCAATGCATCAATTTTTTTCTCAGTTTCAATTCTTTAACCTTCAAGGAACCAAAATGAAATCAAAATTTCAAAAACACATGATTTAAGCAAACCTTAAGCAAAGGTTAAGACATTAAATCAACTGAGAATTAAGAATTTAAGTTGTTAATCTTTTTCTTAACAAGTTACCTGATAGGATAAAATGTAAAAAGTAGGAATCTATCAACCTCTGACTCTAGAGTTCAAAAAAATACTGATTACAACTCCTTCTACAGAATCATGATTACCTCCCAAGTTTACACAATAAAAAGAAAACTATGAAAGTCAGAAAGCAGCTTGATTGTCAGTAGTATCAGTTTCCATTTTCTTTAACCCATGTGAATGCTTAAAGACATGTGGGAAAATAAAAGGAAGCACACTACTTCCAATGTTCATGATAACAAACTCTCCATGAAAACATTTAAACTCCATTTCACATTTAAAATTAGAGTTCTATTAGTAGCCAAGAAGCTAAGGTTTTTTTCTATATCACTGCTCAGTGTATTTCTAACAATTTATAGAGAAGTTTAGCAGAACTGTAAGGGGTTTTTTAGTTAATTTTGAACATAACCTGTTCACATGCCAAAAGCTGTTATACCAAATATTTAAAAATTAGAGCTGTGCTGAAAATAAAAAGACCTATGAAAAGAACTTGATAGAGATATTTTCTGCCTTTAAGAGAGTTTCACAGCCTAAAATTTCAAAAAGCAGTGGAAAAGTAGAATTGGTTGTTTTGCTTAATTGATTTCTCCATTTGAATATTAATCAACATAGCATCAAGTCTAAAATTCAGCTACTAGTAACATTATTTTCTCAGTAGTCATCAGTTGCAGAAAGGAATCTGAATTTACATAAAGTGAAAAACAGAAACAAACCTAACAGGAAAGATATCAGGGCCTGATTTTACACCTTTGAGTTAATAATGAATGAAAACAGACAGAACTAAACCTAATGAAGGCACTATTGTAAACAGCAATCCACACCCCACCTCCATAACCTCAAAAAAAGATTTCCACTAGGAATTGAGAATTATGCTATGGCCCTATAGAAAAACTAAACTAAGAAATTATAATATTAAGAATGAAACTGAATCATGATCGCTGCACACACACATATATATATATATACTGACATAATAAACTACTTGTCAGCAGTACCTTGAAATCTTCTAAATGTAAAACTACTAGTCTTTGAAAAGCCCACTTAACCACCCCTAAGTTTAAACAGTCAAAACATTTACTAAATCAGTGGTTCTTAAAACTAGAGTGTGTGGCAGAATAACCTGGTGCTTGTTAAAACACGATGGTGGGCCCCTCCTCCAGCATTTCTGATTCACTAGGTCTGGGGTAGGGCCACAGAGGATGCATTTCCAATAACTTCTCAGGTGATGCTAAAGCTGCTGGTCCGAGGACCACCTGCTAAGAACCACTGACCTAAATTATTAATGGTACATCAGCACAGCCCTAACCAAAAGTTTGGTCAAGATGCATGTAAACAAATAAGGATAGAATACTTAATGCTTAGAAAGAACGCTGATAAATTCACCCTTATTACATCAAAACATCTACATCTGCTTCATGGTCTTCCTCAGTCACTTTCAAGGACAGCACTTCTTCATTAAGGAAGAGCCCACTGAGCCTCTCCTTCCGAGCCTGCCTCTGTTCTTTCAGCTGCCTCTTGCGTAAGGCCTTCTGCTGTAACTTCCGCTGCTTGGATCGCTTCTGTCAAAATAAAAATTTCTACATCAGTGGGGTTCAGTTTTGACATATCCACTGCAAAGTATTTTATGGATCAAATTCTGTATTTTCAGATTAGAGATGTTCAAATTCCTCTGCAGTATGATCCTGGTTCCAGTAAGTGAGCCATTAGCTTAGACTTGAAAATGATTCTTCAAGATTCTATTTTTATGGTATTTGACCAATGAATCTTCTGATAAGGAAGGGTTGAAACTTGATCATTTTGACTAGTTATGGACAACCAATCATTTCTAAGATTTTTTATATCAAATTAAGGTACACCAGTGTCAGTGCAAATATGTAGTGAACAGTACTGAATACAAATGTAGAAAATATTGCCAAAATCTCTAGTGCTTATGCTTTTAAGGTGCGTTTCATCCAAAAGCACGAGCAATTTTATAATGGCTGTGAAAGAACCATGTCTTTTTCATATTAGGCAAATACCATCTTAAAAGCCCATGAGAAACTCAGTGGGCACTCTATTCCTTGTCACTGGTGAAATGATGCCAAAAAGGAATGACCGCATATCCAAAGAAAACCCTTGACAACCAACAAAGCTGGCTATGTTTCTGCTACTTCCGTAAGAACCAGGGAAGAAATCACTGCATATCTTCTAGTCACCACTGGGTTCCTCAAAAGTTATAATAGAGATACCCTTATCATCCAAAGTTGGCTCCAGACTGTCACCACTGCAAGGAACCGAACTCCCCTGCTAAGTATCACAGGACCATTCTATATACACTTAAAACGTCCTATTTTTTATCTGCCCAATAATATTATACAGAACTTTTTCAACTGTGAAAAGAGTAGACAGAAATTAGAGAAAGCATTATTACAGTTGAAAAAGAGCTAAGAAGAAACATTCAAGATTAAAACATTAAGAAAACACTTAACACACACACAAGACACAGAGAACATTCTTAGGAGCTAATAGACAGCAACATCAGCAACATAGTGAGATTCGCTCAGTAGTAAGTTGCAGTCAGTATTGCAATCTTGAGACTCACTCATTATTTCCATCAATTTATCTTACTTAAAACAGACACAAAAATCAGATAAAATTGAAGGTTATATGGCTGTGGGTCAAAACCGTATTTCAAAGCACTCAGCCTAGAGGGCTTTGTCCAACAGCAGAGAATCCTGCTTCTTCAGTTAAAACCAAAACCCACATGCCTCTAGATAGCAGGATAATTTTAACTCTCCAAGAAATTTATATGAAGGAATACTAATGTTAATATTGAAAGGTAAAGTTTTGTATTGATTAGACGTTTTACTTTTGAATCCCGAATCCGCTCTGCTGCACTTGCAGACAAGTTGCTGTCACTGTGTGCTCGACTCATGTTGGCACTGGAGTTTGAAGCAGAGTTTCCAACACTGGACCCACTGCTGCTTGCAGAACTGACCATGCTGGCACTGCTGCTGCTGGCACTGGCACTGGCACCGCTCACTCCACTGGTGCTTGCACAACTAAAGTTGCTTCTCTTCCAGGCCTCTCTTGCAGGCCGTAGGCGAGGGCTATGCTCCTTGATATAGTTTCTGACCTTGGAATACACAGACAAAAACTGGTAAATGTTGTTCCTTCATGTTCTGCCCTCAAAATACTGGAGAAAAGAAGAATATTGTACTTAAAGATTATAGAAAGTGTTACAGATGTACATAGGTAGAATATAAAGACAAAAGAAATCTCTAAAATGTGGAAACAAGTACCAGAAAAATTGACAATGTTCAAAATTCTAAAATATACATTATGAAGCTAGATTTTTAAAAGCATGTGAAATATAATCAGTAAATGGAAGGCTACTGGCTTCCAGAATTTAGGATTATAAGAAAATAACATTCAGGAACAGAAACCAACAGTAAAATAAAACAGATAAGATTAGGCATTTTTAAAGGGTTGCCACTTAAGATGATTAAAGTTAAGCTGTCAATTATATCTAAGATTAGGGTGTTTCCTAGATCTTAGCTAGGGGCCCACAGTACCTGTCTTCAAATGCAAGGCATCAATTTACCATACTAATGAAAAATGGGCTGGAATGTAGAAAATTATAGTATGTCTGTTGAGAGAAACACTGAAATGAGAGAATTTTTTTGTAAATAATGATAAATGCAAAAAATTTAAAAAAAAGCAAAAGTAGAACATAAGTAGTCATTTAGCTATGTACCAGAGAAAAAGAGAACAGCAAAGACTATATTTAGAAGATACCAGAAATGTGTATTTCAGCATAGCAGAAGGAAGACTCATTCCATTTTATCCTAGCCAGGATCAACTACTTCGTAAGACTACTCAAATCCCTCAGATTAGATGTCCACTCAAGTATAGCTCTCAATAATCAGTATTTTGATTCTGGCAATTGGCCTTTTGCAAGCTGAGTTAGAATAAATCTATACCTTAGTGTAACCACCCCTTAAATTTTGAAGTTAAGTTTCAAAACCTATACAACTAAAAAGCAGGTTCAAGATCCTCAGTACTGCCAGTTGAGATGTACATAAAACCTCTTAAAACCAGATGATCTAATATTGCATTTCACAGCAGTGACTTTCACCTTCATTACCTATGTATTTACATATGACTATTGAAGTACACATGTTACAAAACAATGGTATTTTCAATAGTTGTACAATCTGTATTTTCTTTACATACCTGCTTCAGTTTTTCATCTGTGAGACAGTTAAGTTCAATAATAAACTCACTGTCTGTAGGGGAGATTTGAGCAGAAGGATCAATTATTTTAATAATATCAAGTTGCTCCCGAAGACCCATCTCAGTACTGACTTTACGACTCAGATACTCAATGTATTCCACCTATGTGATGAAAAATCATAATAAACAAGGTCAATGCCAAAACCTCTGATCTTTTAGTATGTAATTTATGTTTGAAATATCAGAAGCACTTAATGTTATATTTGTTCCCTGCAAAACAATTAAAGCTCAAATTCATATTTACTAAGCAATCCACATTTATCCAGTAGCTTTAAACAGACAATAATCGAGTTTCACATATTCTCCATATACATGCTTCTAATTAAGAATGTCGAGATCTCTACCTGTTCATCATTTGTCATTGCACTCCAAGGAAGTTCATCTAAGTTCCGGTGCTTGTTTTTCTTTTTAGGAAGCAGGCAAGGTGAACTTGGAATACTGGGTATGACATCAGAAAGTACATCACTCCCACTGGCAATGTCACTGCCCGGTAACTTTATAAAAATAAAGAGAAGCGGGTAGTGAAAGCACAATTTAAGAAGAATAAATTTTAAATGTCACAAAATGTTTCATATTGATTAAAAATTACCTTAATAAAAGACTAGTGACAAACACAAAGTCAGAAGACATTAACTCTGATCACTTCTATTTTAGACAAAGCAGCAACATTAACGTAGTCTTTGTATACACAGTCACTTATTCAATGAGAGATATTTTCCAAAAGCTTAAAATCATAATCAAGACTTGTTAAAATGCTAACTTAAGAGTCAATCATCATTAAGGTTTTAAATTCATAACACAACGTAGGCTAGGGTCCACACAGTATAATGAATAAGGAGCACTAGTCTCCATCTCAGGAGACCTGAGTGATCTGCCACTACCTGGCTTTTTGCCAGACACTACGCTAGATATACTGCCATATAAAGACAAATAAATCATGGCCCTTGTCCTCAAGTCTGTATTAACAACCTCGAGATAATTAAAATAATTTAAAATATGCTGTTAATAGAAAGAAAAACATTTTAAAGACCAGAAGTATTATAAAAGAAAAATTAGAAAAAATGGCAAGAGACAATGTGCAAAGGAGAAAGCAAGCCTAACACAGAAAATCCAATCAGCAAAAATATGTAATATAATTTTATACTGCCTGTTAAAAACCAGCTGGAATGGACTTAATTTTTAACAGCTTTATTGAGTTATAACTGATATACAAAGAACTGTACATATTTAATACATACAACTTGATGACTGGACATATGCATATATCGTGAAACCATCACCACATTCAACAATCAAGGTAATAAACATATCCATCACCTCCAAAGTCAGAATGGATTTAATTTTAAATAAATGTGTTTAAGTTATTCATCAAAAAGGTAAAACATTTTCTTCTACAAGGAGTACATAACAATTTTCAAGAATAATGCTTTCATTTTTACAAGGTACAGAACAGCACTTATTGTTGTTGTTTTGGTTCTATAGACTTTGCAATTACATCTGAACTCTGGATGATTAATAGGCTTTTAAAACTGAAGTATAGTCAATTTCCAATGTTGTGTTTATTTCTGGTGTACAGCACAGTGATTCAAATATATACATATATATGTATATATTCCTTTTCATATTCTTTTTCATTATAGGCCATTACAAGGTACTGAATATAGTTCCCTGTGCTAAACAGTAGGACTTTGTTGTTTATCTATTTTATATATAGTAGTTAGCATCTACAAATCCCAAACTCCCAATTTATCCCTCTCCAGCCTCTTCCCCCCGTGCCCCCACAGCTGGTAACCATAAGTTTGTTTTCTAAGTCTGTGAGTCTGTCTCTGTTTTGTAAATAAGTGTGTCTTTTTTTTTTAGATTCCACATATGAGTGACATCATATGGTATTTTTCTTTCTCTTTCTGGCTTACTTCACTTAGTATGATGATCTCCATGTCCATCCATGTTGCTTCAAATCGCATTATTTCATTCTTTTTTATGGCTGAGTAATATTCCATTGCACGTATATACCAACTTCTTTACCCAGTCATTTGTCAATGGACATTTAGGTTGCTTCCATGTCTTGGCTATTATAAATGGTGCTGCTATGAACACTGGGGTGCACGTTATCTTTTTGAATTAAGAGTTTCCTCTGGATATATGCCCAGGAGTGGGATTGCTGGATCACAGGGTAAGTCTGTTTTCAGTTTTTTAAGGAATGGATGATTAATAGGTTTTTGAAGTCACCAAAAGAGAAAAGCCAATTTAGTCATGAAGATTATTTGGCCTCCTATTGTACTCACTATAATAGGTACAGAGAATCCAAGGAGTGTAAGTAAGTCATGGCCCTTACACAAGAATTTTATATTCAACTTTGTATTCCACAGGTGGAAGAAAAAACATAGGATGAGGTTAAGGAGACCAATATAATTAAAACAGAAAATCAGTGCTAGGGATTTGAAAGTTTAACAAATGAACCATAGCTGTTATATGATATGAAGAAATAGGCCAATAACATTTTCTAAGTAGTAGTAATGATGAAATTGTTCTTAAGGGAAGATGAATCAAAAAGCAGTATGGGGACAAAATAGAGTAAGGAAAGACTGGAATTAGATAGGAAGCTCTTGTTGTGATCTGGGCCTGGACCAAGATAAGCAAAAATGGAAAGAAAAATAGGAACAGATAGGGAAAATTTTGAATGAAATACAATTTACAAGACTGTTTGATAACTGAATGGGTAAGAATAACAGTCAAATGACCACATGCGAGACCAGAAGAAAACTGGCAACATTTCAGTCATACAGCTCATCCAGGTTAACACACAACCCTTAAAGACCTCATTTTTTTTTTACAGCAAGAGACCTGAAGCAATGTTATATAGATCTGCTAGTCTAACACCTCATTTTACAAATAAGAGAAAAGTGATCCAGGGAGGGTCACTGGGTTAGTGGCAGCATCCAAAGTAGGACACAAGGCCAGTGCTTTCAACTACGTCAGGCCGTCTTGCCCTGAAGGTAGTTTGGAATGAGAAAAGAATGTAATCTAGGATATGGAGAGTTTGTAGTGATAATGAGAAAAGTGAGTACAAGTGTCCTTTGAAATGACAATAGTCATTTTTCAATACACTACAAGACTTGTCACAAAGCAGAGTATTTTTCCCCATGGAAACACTGTAATTGGAAGCTACATTACTGATCAAGGACTCAGCATCAGATAATGGGTTAGAATTAAATAATAAGGCCATTCAAGTGGAAATGTCAAGTAGTCAATTGGAGATATGGGATTAGAGCTGCAGATGTACAGAAGAATTAATTGTATGGGTGCTCCTGTGTATTTATTAGATCAGCAGTTTTCCATTTTATAACTGCTAATATATTTCAGGATAAAAATGCTTAATAATTTTCATCTCATATTTTTCACGGACAACAATATTTGGTATATTTATATTATAATCAGTAATTGTGACAACTAAGGAAAATTAAATCAAACCTCTGCCATATTTTCTGCAGTATGCAGCAAAATTTTATGAGTAAGCTCATTTCTGTAATAGCTGATGTGCAATTTCAAATTGCACCTCTAGGTTTTAAGCATGACAGCTGAATTACTCACTCTTTAAATTTTCTATGCATTCTGATCAACAATAAAATAATTTCTCAAGTTCTAAGACTAGTCAAATATATCTTTAATAATAAAAGGACTGCAAGCAAAGAAAACTATCAGCAAAGCAAAATGCTTCGAATACTACTTCAGATGCTAAAATGCAACTTCATTCTAAGGTTAAAATCCTGCCTTTATCAAGTAGTTAGCATTTCTCTTCCCAGACAATCTATGAATCATTTATATTTACTTTAGTAGTAACTGAAACATCTGTTTAAAAGAAAGATGTAAACAGATGCAGTTTTTAATCACAACAGAGGTAATAAGAATTTTAAAACTGTGGTCAATGATTTTTAGCCTATATAATTCTAACACGTAATTTATAATTATCTTTAAGGGTTAATTTACTGTTCATCATTATGAGGTCCCACAAAGACAAGAGAGCATTTTAAACCTTTCAGCATATTTAAATAGCAAATATCCATGGTAACAGAGTACCTATGCTCCAATTTCAGAAGTGGGAAAACACATTACTAAGGCAGGCCTTATTTTTGTTTCAACGTTGTAGTCAGTCATGTGCATTAATGGTGAGTGGTTGGGGATAGTTTTCCACTCGAACTACTCATGAAATGAGTGAGTAAGTCAGCAATTAAAATTTTAAAATGCCTGCCACTTTGCAAAATTATGGATGATAAGAACTCTAAATAAATCATAAGAAATAAGCAGAAAAAATTTTTTCTCAGAATTATCAGAACTCTACCTGATTGCACTTAATAATAAGAATCCTTGTAGTCTGATTTTAAATATGGAGTGCACACTTTTAAAAAAATGAGGCACTGAAGAATAAAAAAGTACCCACACAAATGGGTATTATAGATGCTGTATTATCTATAATAGAGAATAAATAGAAAACATGTAAATAGGGGAATGGTTTCATAAGTTCTAGCACATCTAGTACCAGGAATATTATGTAGCCATTAAATGACTAATTTGAAGATCATAAAAAAGTTTATATATTAAATGAGAAAATTGTATTATAGTATTTTATCCAGAAGAAAAGGGAACACTTCCTAACTCATTCTATGAGGCCAAAGTGATACAAGAACATCACAAGAAAGGAAAACTACAGACCAATATCTCTTATGAATACAAATGCAAAAATTCTCAACAAAATACTAGCAAACCAAATCCAGCAGCACATTAAATGATAATATACCATTACCAATTAGCATTAATCCCAGGAATGCAAGGGTGGGTAAATATACAGAAATCAATTAACATAGAATTATGGGAAGAAACCAAGTGATCCTCTTAACAGATGCAGACAAAGCATCTGACAAAATGTAACAAACACCCTTTCAGATAAAAACACTCAGCAAACTAGGAATAGAAGGGAAATTCCTCAATACAATAATGGACATTTATGAAAAAAACCTATAGCTAACATACTCAGTGGTGAAATACTGAACGTTTCTTCTCTAAGGCCAGGAAAAAGATAAGGATGCCTGCTTTTGCCACTTCTATTCAACACTGTACTGGAGACCTAGCCAGGATAGTTAAGCAAGGGAAAAAACCTACCCAGATTGGAAAGGAAGAAGGAAAACTAAGATCAGATGACATGATCTTAAAATATAGAAAACCCTAAAGAATCTACACAGAAAAAAAAAAATTAAAGCTAATAAATGAGTTCAGCAAGGTTGCAGGATACAAAACCAATATACAAAACTCAACTGTATTTCTATACACTAGCAATAAACAATCCAAAAAAATGAAATTAAGAAAACAATTCCATTTACAGCTGCATTAAAATAATAAAATGTTCAGGAATAAATTGAACCAAGGAATTAAAAGACTTGGACACTGAAAGCTATAAAACATCATCAAAAGAAATTAAAGAAGGCCTAAATAAAGATATGCCATCCCACATTCATGGATTGGACTATTGTTAAGATGGCAATATTCCCCAAATTGATCTACAGATTCAGTGTAATCCCTATCAAGTGCCCTTTTTGCAGAAATAGACAACCTGATCCTAAAATTTGTATGGAATTACGAAAAGAACCTCAAATAGCCAAAACAATCTTGATGAATAAAGTGGGGAGAACTCACTCCTCCGGATTTCAAACCTTATTACAAAGCTAGAGTAATCAAAACATAAGGATAAAGATAAGGATATCCTGGTATAAGGATAGACATATGTATCAATGGAACAGAATGGAGAGTTCAGAACTTAACCTGACCAATTCATTTCCACAAGAGCACCAAGACCATTTGATAAGGAAAAAATATAGTCTTTTCAACAAATGGTGCTGGGACAACTGGATATCTACATGCAAAAGAATGAATTTGGACTTATCTTACACCACATACAAAGAGTAACTCAAAATGGATCAAAGACCTAAATGTAAGAACTAAAGGTCTAAAACTCTAATAAAGAAACAGATGTAAAATCTTCACGGCCTTGGATTAAGCAACGGTTCTTAAAATATGACATCATAAGCATAGCATTCAAAGAAAAAATAAACTGGACTTCTTTAAAATTTAAACTTTTGTTATTTATATAAACTACATCAAGTGAACAGACACTATTAAGTGTACAGACAACCCACAGAATGGGAAATATTTTTGCAAACCATGTATATAAGGGGCTAGTAACCATCATATATAAAGTACTCTTACAATTCAACAATAAAAGACAACACAATTTAAAAATGGGCAAAGGATTTGAATAGACATTTTCCCAAAGAAGATACACAAATGGTTAATAAGCACATGAAAAGATATTCAACATCATTAGTCATTAGGGAAATGGAAGTCAAAACCACAATGAGATACCACTTTACACACAGTAGGATTGCTACAACAAAAAAAGACAGAAGACAGACAATACCAAGTGTTCCCAAGGATATGGAGAAATTGGAACTTTCATGTATTGCTAGTAAAATAGTACCGCCACCTTGGAAAACATTTTGGTAGTTCCTCAAAAAGTTAAACATAAACTTATCACATGACTCAGCAAATCTAAGTGTATATATCCAAGAGAATTAAAAATGTATATTCATATGAAAACCTGTATCTGAATGTTCATAGCAGTATTATTTATAATAGCCCCAAAGTGGAAACAACCCATCAGCTGATTGATGAATAAATAAAATGTGATATATCCATAAAATGGAATATTCAGCCATAGAAAGGAATTGCTATAGACTAAATGTTTGTTATCCCCCAAATCTGTATCTTGAAGCCCTAATCCCTAATGTAATGATATTTGGAGATGGGGCTTTGGGAGATAATTAGGTTTATACGAGGTCATGAGGGCAGAGCTCCCATGATGGGACTGGTGACCTTATAAGGGGACAAACAGACCAGGGCTCTCTCTCTTTCACTTCCATCTGAGGATGCAACAAAAGGCAGCCATCTGCAAACCAGAAAGGGGGTCCTCACCAGAACCCGATCATGATGGCATTCGGATCTTGGACTTTCAGGCTCCAGAAATGTGAGAAATAAATGTTTGTTTAAGCCACCCAGTTTATGGTATTTGTTATAGCAGTTCGAGCTGAGTTAAGACAGGAATAAAATACTATAACATGGATGAACCTTGAAAACATGCTAAGTGAAAGAAACCAGACACAAAAGCTCATGTTTTATATGAGTACATTTATATGAAATGTCCAGAAAGGCAAATCCATAGAAAAGTAGATTAGTGAGGGCAGGAGGAGATTGGGACTATCTGCTAACAGATATGGGTTTCTTCTGGAGTGATGGAAATGTCCCAGAATTAGATAGTGGTGATGGCTGCACAACATTGTGAATATATTAAAAATTGCTGAATTATACACATTAAAAATATTAAAATGGTGCATCCCAGTTTTTTTAAAATGTTAATAATTTTTATCCAAATCATATTCACAATGATTTGTGAAACAGAAGCAGAATTTCAAATAATATAGAATATAATAATAGAGGCATTGTCGATTTTTTCCTCTTTAAAAACCTCTTAATTTTCTGTGTAGCATTGTTTATGACAAAACTGAAACTAACCTAAATATTCATTATTAGGGGGCTGATTAAATAAATTACGATGCAATTATCAAAAAGAATGAGATACACTAGTAGAAAAAAGCAGAGGGCCAAACACTGGCTGAAGTATGATCTCATTTTTGTGTCTTTTAACATTCTGCAAACATACTTGTAGCTGCACAAGCTCTTAACAGTGGTAACCACAGCAAAGTCAGACTTGGAGACATTTTTATTATGCCATTTTGCATTATTTGATATTTTAATAAAAATTGTTTGCAATAAAATATTCGATTCCTCTTTTGGAAAACAACTTCAAGTACTTAGATGGATTTTAAAAATAGTAGGTATTCAAGTATTTGTTGAATATAACAGTTGCTAAATGCAAGGAAAGCTTCTTCAAATGTTATTGTCTTTTACAATCAGAAAATGCATATTGTGCCCAGAAATAAGCCCATGAACTTATGGTCAATTAGTCCATGACACAGGAGGTAAGAATATACACCAGGGAAAAGACAATCTCTTCAATAAGTAGTGCTGGGAAAACTGGACAACTACATGTAAAAGAATGAAATTAGAACAATCTCTAACATCATATACAAAAATAAACCCAAAATGCATAAAGACCTAAATGTAAGACCAGATACTCTAAAACTCCTAGAGGAAAACATAGGCAGAATACTCTTTGACATAAATTGGAGCAGTACTTTTTTCAATCCATCTCCTAGCATAAAGGAAATAAAAGTAAAAATAAGCAAAAGGGATCTGATTAAACATAAAAGCTTTTGCACAGCAAAGGAAACCACAAATAAAACAAAAAGACAACCTACAGAGTGGAAAATATTTGCAAATGATGAGATCAGCAAGGGATTAATTTCCAAAATATACAAACAGCTCAACTTAATATAAAAAAACAACCCAGTCAAAAAATGGGCAGAAGACCTAAACTGACATTTTTCCAAAGAAGACATACAGATGGCCAACAGGCACATGAAAAGATGCTCAACATCGCTAACTATTAGAGAAATGCAAATCAAAACTAAAAT